CACACACACACACACACCCACACACACACACACACACACACACACACACACACAAACGCACACACACACCACACGCACACACACACACACATTCACACAAACGCACACGCACACGCACACAAGCACACATTCACACGCACGGCCAGGGCCGATCGCGCCGGCACCCACCTATGGTGTACCCGCTCCAGTCGACCACGACAGTCTGCCCCTTCTGCGGCTGCGCCCCCTCCCCTGGCTTGAGATCCAGGTACTGCAGGCCGCTGCTGGTGGTCGTGAAGTCCCCATACCTGCCAGGACATGAGTTCAGGCCGTCATAGCAAAGGTCAGGAGGCGGGGCAAGGCAGCTTTGCCATCAGAAAACGAAGCCTGTCTGTCTGACGGACACAAAATCAGTGCAAGGTTCAGAGGTCGCTTGCCGCGATTGCGCCGCCTGCCAGCGCATCGTCTTGCTGGACCAGACCGCCTCCTATCGCTTGGAACCTGCGCAACCGCCGCTGACGGGCCGCATGTGCCACTGCAACCCAACATGCCTCCGCAGTCGCACCCACTTCATGCGAGGCTTCCCATAGTCCTTGTCCTTCAGGGCCTCCATCGGCTCCAGCTCAGACAGCTTCTCAGCAGCTGCCGCGGTCCCCACGCTGCCCAGCAGGGGCAGCACCAAGATCGCGCCCCCGGCCGCCAGCGCCGCGCGGCGCGTGGCCGGCGGGGGCGCGCTGGCGTCGGCGCTGCTGCTGCCATCATCGCTCCTCACCCTTGCCGCCACGCGAGGAGTAGCTCGGCAGACCGCTGGCCGGAAGGCATTGTCATGCCGCCTACACGCATAGCGAGCGCATTGCGGCGGCCAACAGCCTGGTCGCAAGAAGGCGCGCGAGCGCCGGGATGTGCGCCAGCAGTGCGAAGAGTAGATCTGCGCAAGGATGCCTCGCAGGACTGCCACCCCTCTCATTGGCCCAGCTCTCACCTCTTGCTGCTAGAACCGTGGTGTTGCACCCCGTGCCGCGTGGATAGCTGCATTGTGCCACACGGGCAGCAGAGTCGCAGTGATGTGGGGACGACGACTTTTAAAAAGAGGCTTGTTGGGACGTTGTGAATCGGTTCATATCTTCTCAAATATAATTTGTAGCAACGAACGGCCCAGAAACCAAGAAATCAAGATCGCAATACACAAGTGCGCTACAGTACCGTAGGGCAACGGGTGTGGCACACGCCGTGAAAAAAAATACTACAGGAAAATAGAGGGCTTCCAACAACATCGAAAGCTGCTTGCCATTTGTGCCGACCACACCGGCCGCGCTTCGCGAGCAGGCGGCGGCGGCCGCCGCTGATGCTGCTGCCCCGGTTGACGCCGCGCAATGCCACCACCCTTCATGCGCCTGTGTGAATGCACCTATGTGAGACTCAGACACACTCTTACGTGCACGCAGGGCGTCACGGCCAAAGTAGGCCAGCTAGGGGCGTGAAAGGCCACACAGGCCAGGCGCACCCAGGGGAACCAGCCGCTATGCCTGGCGGCCGCGCCAAGCGCGGCCGCGCGCAGGCCGCCGATCCGACAGCAGCCGGCACGCACGACGACGCGCACGACGACGCGCCCGCGAGCGGCATGACCGCGCTGCACCGCTGGCGCTCGCCGCCGTGGCGCGTCGCGGCGGCGACGGCGCTGTCGGCGTGCCCGGACGGCAGCGCGGTCGCGGCCGCGTATGAGGACGGCCGTGTGGAGGTGTGGCACCTCTCATACCTCTGCAGGCTCATGGTGCGTGCGGCTGGCTGGAGGTTTTTTCGCTGGGTGGGGGTGGCAGGGGGCGATTGCGGTCTGCGTGCCTGAGGGCTGGCGGAGAATTTGGCCTCGAACGTGCTGCAGTAGCGTTTCAACAGGAGCAGCGCATCAGCACACCAGCCCTTGCTGGCCCCACCCCGCTCGCCACTCGCATACCCTGAAACGCCTTGCTTGATTGGCAAGAGATGCCATCTCAAGTCTGCGGCCCGCGGACCACACGTCGCCCGCAGGCCGTACCTGGGTGGGAGGGCGCTGACCTGTCGAGCCTCGCCTGGGCCCACGACGCGTTCGCGCGCCGCTGGCGCCTCTTCGCCGCCTCCCTCGACGGCGCGATCTACGAGGTCGACTTCGAGCGCCAGCAGCTGGCCCACGCCTCGGACTCGTACGGCGGCGCGGTGTGGGCGCTCGCGGCGGCGCCGGGCGGCGGCGGCGGAAGGGGGGATGGTGGTGGCGGCGACAGCCATGACTTGGTGGCGGCCTGCGACGACGGCAGCCTGCGCCTGCTGCGCGTGAACGCGGGCGCCGCCGGGTGCGAGTACGTGCGCATGCTGGCAAAGGCGGAGGGCCGCGCGCTGGCGGTCGCGTGGCACCCGGACGGCAAGGCGGTCGTTGGCAGCGGCAGCGACGGCTGCATCCACGCCTACGATGTGGCGAGCGGTGGGTTGCTGGTAACACGCGGCGGTGCTGTTGTCGTCGGCGCTGTGTGTTGACAATACGAGGAAGGGACCGCGCGAGGCAAATGGCTAGGCAGAGCTTGGGAGCGCTGCACAGCCGGCGCGCGCCGCAGGTTCGCCGCCCGCGTCGAAGCCAAGGGCGCTCCTCTCTGAATTCATCGCCACGCCCGCAAAAAAACGACACAGGCCGCGAGCTGATGCGCATCACCGCCGCCGTCCACGCCGCCGCGCCGCCCTGCATCTGGTCGCTCGCCGTGCTGCCCGACGGCACGATTGTCAGCGGCGGCAGCGACGGCGCCACCCAGTTCTGGGAGGGGCGCTTTGGCACGCTGATATCGCGGCTGCAGCAGCACGTGGCGGACGTCTTGGCCGTCGCCGCCAGCGCAGACGGCAGCCTGGTCTACTCGGCAGGCGTCGACCCCCGGGTGCGCCCGGGCTGCCAGTGCACACTAAGGGGAGTCTGTCTGCCTCAACCCGCCCTCCCGCTTCCCTTTCCATCTTTCAAACCCTGCCCCCCTCCCCGCTGCGAACCACCCCCTTAATTCCTGTATTCAATCCTCCCACCAACACTCATAAACCCGCTAGGTCGCCGTTTTCAAGCGCGTCCCCGACGCCGGCACTGGCGCCGAGCGCTGGGCGTACCTCGCGCACAAGTCCCCCCACTCCCACGAAATCCGCGCGCTGGCCGCGGCGCCCAGGGGCGCGGGCGCAGACGAGCTGCTGCTGAGCGGCGGCGTGGACGGGCAGCTGGTGCTGTATCCGGCGCTCAGGATACTGCAGGTGCGTGGGTTTGTGCTTGTCTCTATGCGCGTGTGTGCGCGCGTGCGCGTGTGTGTGTGTGCGTGCTGTGTGTGTTTTCTGTGAGTGTGTGTGCGTGTGCGTGTGCGTGTGCACATGCGTGCGTGGTTGTGGGAGTGGCTGTGGCTGTGGCTGTGGTATTGGGTGAGGAGGGCTCGGCGCGTCTCACCAGCAACGCCGGCCAAGTCGCTGGTACGGTGAGGGGGTGTGGGCATGCTGCAGGGGGAGTGCTGCAGCTGCGTTGGCTAGTGGCGGCTGTCGTCGTGAAGCGAGGCCGTTCCCTTCGGCTCTGCTGCTGGAGGTTTCATGACTCGAACCTCTTGGCTGACTACTCTTCCCTGCTCGCTCGCCCTCTGTCGCGTCCCGAACCCCCGGCCACAGGAGCACCCCGTGCGCCTGACCAAGGCGCCGCAGGCGCCGCTGCTGCAGCTCGCGCCCCGCGGGCCCGGCGGCGCGCCGCGCCTGGTGGTTGCCCAGGGCCGAACCCTCAGCCTCTGGCGCCTCGGCCGCGCCGCGCCCGCCCGCGCGGCGCCTGCTGTAGCCAGCGGCGATGCGGGCGCTGCGGCGCAGTCAGGCCCAGATCTGGCGGTCCCAGACCACGAGCAGGAGGGCGATCCCTTGGACCTGTCCGAGGCGCCCGGCTGCCTCGCAGAGCTGCGCCTGCGCGGCCCGCGCCACGTGGCGTGCGCCGCAGTGGCGGCCGGCGGCGGGCGGGTGGCGGTGTCGGACGCGTCCGGGGTGCGGCTGTTCAGTATTGAGG